TTCTCTGTATTTTGAGGAAAGGACGTTTTTAAACAGAGATGGGGCAGAAATAAAACTGCAAATGATCTGGACACACCAGAATATACAGTAACTGGATTTGGAATTGTTTAGAATTCCAACCACAAGGAAAATTTCACCCTTATCTCCACAATGGACTGAATGAATTGCCAAGATCAGAATGTTTTGGCCCTATACTCCCACCTACTTTTAAGGATATCTCCATTTCCATGTGGACAGTGTGCATTTTGGAGACCTATTTTAAGAGTAACAGCACCCCAGTTCTTCGTAAATTAAAGAGCAGCACCGGATAACAAATCTTTCCCTTTTATATTATGTCTCAGTTCCGAATCCATGGGACACAAATGAGATCAGCATATGGTCTAGAAATTGGAAAGCTGTGGGACTTCCATGTGTCCAAGATAGGAGCAAATGGCTGTCCCACAGAGGACAGGGTATGTAGTTGCATTTCTCTATCATGCATGCCAGTGCTCAGAGAAATGAAGTCATAACCACCTCCTCTTTGCTGGATAGTGTATCTAAGACAGATGCTAAGTCTACACATAGGGTTTGAAACTTTCCATCTCTTCTGGAGTTCTCCGCTTTTAGAGGTCTTCTCCATGGGAAGATTGACCAAAATAGCTCTATCAGAATAAGTATTCTGCTAGAGCTATGCTAGTGTAACTCTCCCTCTGTGGATATTTTATTCTGGAATAATTACCCTGCTTTGAAGTTTCCATTTCAGGAGCTAATGCAAATAACAAACTCAATTGTTTTTGTGTCTGGATTCTTTGGGCACAAAGTTGCAAAGGACAATTCCTGAGAACGAGGAAGAGAGAGAAATATGAGAAACCACATTTGTACCCTATAGTATTAGATAGGAATGTATTACATAAAGCACTGTTACATCTGACATGCATGCAAACACTTAGACATAACCAGCAGAGAGAATTTCATTTAAGGGAAAGTAGGGATAATTTTTTAAGTGCAGGATCCATGACAGTCTCCTGGCAAATTCTGAAATACCAAATGAAATTGTTTGCAGAAGATTTTAAGACATTTAAAAGCAAATGTTTTATATTGAAACATAGAAGCCAATTGGTATTTATCTGAGATTCCATGGTAAATTCTGTTCTAATAATAAATTAATAAAACCACAGGGCCTCCAACACATTGGCATATTTCCCATCACATGCAAACAAAAACATATGTACAAATATCACACCATCATCACAAGAAATATTTTATTTTAAATTAGGTCAGCCTTTTCCTACTGAAACAGGGGTCTACATACACAGAAAACTAGTGCCTGTGGTCTACTTTTCAACTCTGATTGGATCTCCTAAACCACCCTCAATTCCTGCCACCTTCTTACACAATTGTGCATCTCAATCTCTCCTAATGTTCTAATAAGAGCTTTTATTGCACATTGTGATTTCAGTATCAAACTTCAGAGGCAAAATTTTAATTTTTTCTCCTCTTTCTCTTTCCTTCAAATTCAAATGAATGTTTCTTCTATGACATATAAGGAAGGAGTATAAGAGAGCACCCCTTCCTTTTATATAACCTACCTGTACATCTCCAAGTACTATAATAGGTAAACTGAGGCACAGAGCACTTAGATGTTTTGTCCATGGGCACATAGCAAGTCAGTGGCAGAACACATATATTGTATTGTTTCTTATCCTCTCCCTTCTTCTATGTTTGCTTACTGTAGTCTAATATTTCTACAATATTTATTCAATACACATTGTCATTTCACTTTATTACGAGCATTCATCTTTCATCTCTCTGTTCTGTTTCCAATACTCTTCCTCTTCTTTCTCTGTTCTGCATTTCAATATGGCTAAATATTTCCTCCTCCATCACCACTACTCCCAGATTTTGCCTTAAATTTTCTGCGACATAACTGATAGTTTGTGTCTGTATGCAGTGTTTCATAGGCTTATGTGTAGTGCTGGGGAGGAGCCAGTAGTCATGGTCATTGTTCCTCCTAAGATTTTCCATCCATGAGCAGAGTGAATTTTGTCTTGTGCGCCAACAATGAGTTCATGAGCACTTGTTCGGATGTGTGCCACTGTGGCACCCACCAGTGGTGCTGCTCCCCAAAAGGATCTCCCAGGTAGTGCCTCTTGGGGAGAAGGTGAGAAGTGCCCTCCCACCCCCAAGAGCTCGGCAGGGCAGAGCAAGGCAGGGCAGGGCAGGGACTGCCCCCATGCTGCTTCTCGCCAGGCTGCTGTGAGTCCTGGGGCTGAGGAAAGCTGCTGCCAGTGCCCAGGGTTTGCAGGGAGTGAGGTGCTGGGGGTGGGGCAGTGACATGTGGGGAGCGGGGGAGAACAGAGGGTTGGGGGGCAGGGGACTCTGAGGGGCAAAAGAAAGGTTTGGGAGGGGGAAAGAGAGGTGCAGGGGGCCCCAGCACCAGGAGCAGCTGCACCACTGCCCGGCTCCAGCTTTGGACAGCCATCACATGGCCAGCCCAGGGAGCAGTATGGAAGCCACTTGTGGCCCTGAATACAGCTCCAGCCCTGGGGGAATGGAAAGGGCTGGGGCCAGGGCCAGGGCCAGCCACAGCCACCAAGCAGCCCCCCACCACATAGCTCCAGCTGGCAGAGCAGCCCCAGCCCCCTACGTAGGCCCCCCGACCTGGCCCCAGCCCTCCAAGCAGTCCAATGCCCCCCCCCCCCCACACACACACACAACATGGTAGGCCCCAGCCGCCAGATCAGACCCAGGCCCTGGCTGCCCTCCCCTGCCATGTGGCAGGGCCTGGCCCCAGCCACTGGAGGAGGCCCTTGGTCCCCCAACTCCCAGAGTCAGCCCCCAGCACCAGCCTTGGTTGCCCATGAGCAGCCCTGCCCCACCATGCCACCTCAGCCCTCCAGCTCCCCACCACCTCAGCTGGCCTCAGCCCAAAGCAGCTGCCTGCCATGCCATTCCCCTTCCAGCAGGAAGGTAAGTGCTACTGTGTGGCTTTGCAAAGGTGAGTGGGCAGAGAATTTTTTGTGCACAGCCATGCAGGTGTACACCTTAGCAGGAACATGTAGGTACCCCTGACATAGGAAAGGACAGGAGAGAAGTCCCGGAGATCAAATTTAGGCTGTTAGGAGAGAGAAATTCAGGCTGTCAGTGGTAGCGGGTCTGAAATCCTTCCAGTTCCACGCACAGGACCAGGTAGGCAGGCAGAACTGCAGGGTCTCAATGCATGGATGAGACAATGGTGTAGGGAGGAGGGGTTTAGATTTATTAGGAACTAGGGAAACTTTTGGGATGGGAGAGCCCAAATGGAACCAGATTGCTGGCACTTAAAATGCAAAAGGTTGAAGAACAGTTTTTAAACTAATGGCTGGAGAAAAGCCAATGGATGTGGAGGAGCACATAGATCGGACAGAGACATCTCTTAGGGGAGAGTCTATTAATAGAGATTCTCTGTGTTTAAGGAGGGGAGGATACACGATGATAAAAGATGGGTAAGCTCAGACGAGAAGCAAACAAATGAAAAAGAGTACCAATCGAACACACCAGGAAATGGCAGACAGCTAAATAGTGACAAATTTTTAAACTGCTTATAAACAAATGCTAGAAATCTAAAAAATAAGATGGGTGAACTTGAGTGATTCATACTTAAGGAGGATATTGATATAATAGGCATCACAGAAACTTGGTGGAATGAAGACAATCATTGGGACTCAGTCATATCAGGGTATAAAATATATTGGAAGGACAGAACAGGTTGTGTTGGTAGGGAAGTGGCACTATACGTGAAAGAAAATGTAGAATCAAATGAAGTAAAAAATCTTAAATTAACCAAAATGCTCCATAGAATCACTATGGATAGTAATCCCATGCTCTAATAATAATAATATAGGAGTAGGGATATATTATTGACCACCTGACCAGGACAGTGATAGTGACTATGAAATGCTAAGGGAGATTAGAGAGGCTATAAAAAATAAAAAACTCAGTAACAGTGGGGGATTTCAACTATCCCGTATTGACTGGGTACACGCCACCTCAGGATGGGATACAGAAATAAAGTTTCTTGACACCTTACAAGACTGCTGCATGGAGACTTTTCAAAGACACCATAATAGAAGCCCAATTTAAATGTATACTCCAAATTAAAAAAAAACAACACAATAAGAGAACAAAAAAAGTGCCACTGTGGCTTAACAAGCAAGTAAAAGAAGCAACGAGAGATAAAAAAGCTTCATTTAAAAAGTGGAAGTCAAATCCTAGTGAGGTAAATAGAAAGGAGCATAAACACTGCCAAATTAAGTGTAAAAATGTAATAAGGAAAGTCAAAAAGGAGTTTGAAGAACAGCTAGGCAAAAACTCAAAAGGCAATAACAAAATGGTTTTTAAGTACATCAGAAGCAGGAAGCCTGCTAAACAACCAGTGGGGCCCCGGACGATTGAGATACTTAAGGAACACTTAAAGATGATAAAGTCATTGCGGAGAAACTAAATGAATTCTTTGCTTCAGTCTTCATGGCTGAGGATGTTAGGGAGATTCCCAAACCTGAGTCATTCCTTTTAGGCAACAAATCTAAGGACCTTTGCCAGATTGAGGTGTCATTAGAGGAGATTTTGGAACAAATTGATAAACTTAACAGTAACAAGTCACCGGGACCAGATGGCATTCACCCAAGAGTTCTGAAAGAACTCAAATGTGAAATTGCAGAACTAGTAACTGTGGTTTGTAACCTATCTTTTAAATCAGCTTCTGTACCTAATAACTAGAAGATAGCTAATGTAACACTAATATTTAAAAAAGGCTCTAGAGGTGATCCTGGCAATCACAGACCAGTAAGTCTAATGTCAGTACCAGACAAATTAATTGAAACTATAGTTAAAAATAGAATAATCAGACACATGGGTGAACATAAATTGTTGGGGAAAAATCAACATGGATTCTGTAAAGGGAAATCATGTCTTATTCGAGTTCTTTCAGGGGATCACTAAGCATGTAGACAAGGGGAATCCAGTGGATACAGTGTACTTACATTTTCAGAAAGCCTTTGACAAAATCCTTCCCTAAAGGCTCTTAAGTAAAGTAAGTTGTCCTGGGATAAGAGGGAAGGTCCTCTCATGGGCTGATAACTGGTTAAAGGACAGGGGAAAAAAGGGTAGGAATAAACGGTCAGTTTTCAGAGTGGAAAAACATTGGTCCTGGAACCAATCCTATGTAACCTATTTATAAATGAAAGGGGTAAACAGTGAGGTGGCAAAATTTGAAGATGACACTAAACCGCTTAAGATAGTTAAGACCAAAGCAGACTGAAGAGATTCCAAAGGATCTCACAAACCTAGATGATCAGGAAACAAAATGGCAGATGAATTATAATGTGGTAAGTGCAAAGTAATGCATATTGGAAAAAAATATCCCTATCACACACATAAAATGATGGGGACTTACTTACCTATAAGCACTCAAGAGAGAGATCTTGAAGTTATTTTGGATAGTTCTCTGAAAACATCACTCAATGTGCAGCTGCAATCAAAAAAGCAAAACATGTTAGGAATAGAGAATAAGACAGAATATCTAAGTGCCTCTATATAAATACATGGTACTCCCACATGTTGAACACTGTGTACAGATGTGGTCGCCGCATCTCACAAAAGATATATTGGCATTGGAAAAGGTTCAAAAGAGGGCAACAAAAATGATTAGTGGTTTGGAACAGGTGCCATATGAAGAGAGATTTAAAAGACTGGGACTTTTCAATTTAGAAAAGAGAAGACTAAGGGGGGATATGATAGAGTCTATAAAATCATGACAGGTATGGAGAAAGTGAATAAGGAAAAGTCATTTTCTTGTTCCCATCACATAAGAACTAGGGGTCACCAAATGAAATTAATAGGTAGGTATCACTTTTAAAACAAAGAAAAGGAAGTTTTTCTTCACATTCAACCTCTGGAACTCCTTGCCAGAGGAGGTTGTGAAGACCAGGACTTTAACAGGGGTCAAAAAAGAGCAAAATAAATTCATGGAGGTTAGGTCCATTAATACATATTAGCTAAAATGGGTAGGAATGGTGTCCCTATCCTTTGATTGTCAGATGCTGGGAATGGGTGACAGAGGAGGGATCACTTAGGGTATGTCTACACCACAGTGCTAATTCGAACTAACTTAGTTCGAATTAGTTAATTCGAACTAAGCTAATTCAAATTAGCGCAGCTAGACTTAAAAACTAGTTCGAATTAGCGTTTTGCTAATTCAAACTAGCATGTCCACACAGAGTGGACCCTGAACAGAGGTTAAAGATGGCCGGAAGCAGTGCCGGCAGGGCATCAGAGGAGGACTTAGAGCGTGGAGCTGTTGTCTCAGGCTAGCCAAGGGCTGTGCGAACAGACAGTTCTCAGGGTTCCCCGCTTGCAAAGCAATCCTGGCTTGGAGTGCCCTGAGTGCCCACATACGGAACTTTTACACTACAGTGTTACTTTGAAATATCTCATTTATAAATAGTTAATTTGAAATAAGATATTTCGAAATAACGCATCTACACACAAAATGCATTTTGAAATAGCATGTCCACACTGAGTGGTCTCTGAATTACATTTAAAGCCGTCTGAAACTTGCCACAGGCTGTCATCCGGGGGGAGGGAGCAATCGGGGGGCTGCAGGAGAACTTCCACCCCGAGAAGCCCGCAGAGCCAGCCCAGTCCTCCCCATCGGGGGCGCGTACCCCATTCCTCCCTCACCTCCTTCCACTTACCCTTCCCTAGCCCCCCTTCCTGATGTACAAAATAAAGAAAACGTGTGTTCAAAAACAGAATCTCTCTTTATTGAACAAAACTCGGGGAGACTGGGAAAAAGAGGTGGGAGAGGGGAAGAGAGAGGCTGGGAGAGGGGAGGGCAACTAAAATGATCAGGGGTTTGGAACAGGTCCCATATGAAGAGAGGCTAAAGAGACTGGGACTTTTCAGCTTAGA